AAAATCCCAGCCAGAAAAGCTGCGTGCATAGCTTACCCTCTTAGAAACCCGCTAGCTGGAATATTAAACTCTGAACTCTCTGAACTCAGCAGAAAGAGGGGCTTGGCTTCCCTAGCTCATTTGTACTTGACTGGAGATTTCTTTCTCCCTTTTTAAAAATTTTATTAGTATAAGGGGTGGTTGAGGTTCAATTTCCTTTTTTTTTTTTTTTTTTTTTTTTTATACAGAGTCTCACTTTGTTGCCCAGGCTAGAGTGAGTGCCGTGGCGTCAGCCTAGCTCACAGCAACCTCAAACTCCGGGCTCAAGTGATCCTCCTGCCTCAGCCTCCCAAGTAGCTGTGACTACAGGCATGCACCACAACGCCCGGCTAATTTTTTCTATATATATTAGTTGGCCAATTAATTTCTTTCTATTTATAGTAGAGACGGGGTCTCGCTCTTGCTCAGGCTGGTTTTAAACCCCTGACCTCCAGCAATCCGCCCGCCTCGGCCTCCCAGAGTGCTAGGATTACAGGCGTGAGCCACCTCGCCCAGCCTCAATTTCCTTTCCTTTTGTTTTGTTTTGTTTTGTTTTGTTGAGACAGAGTCTTACTCTGTCACCCTGGGTAGACGGCAGTGGCATCATTATAGCTCACTGCAACCTCAAACTCCTGGGCTTAAGCGATCCTCCTGTCCCGGCCTCCCAGAGTGCTGGGATTACAGGCATGCCCCACGGTGCCCAGCCTTGAATGGAGATTTTTGTGTCACTCCTGCCATTCTAAGCATTTGCCTTCGGATGGGACACTCTCTAGCCCTCAATAAGGCGGCTGGCTCCAAGCTAGACCTAGTCTGGGAGAGCCAGCCTTTGGACTCTCAACCGTGGAAAGTTCCCAGGCGATGCCTAGGGACATAAACTTAACTGCGCATTTGAACTTAAACCCGACGGGCAGAACTCAGGATCTCTGCGTGCTGCGATTTGGCAGGCAAACCCCAGGCATTTAATTACATTGCTGCAGAGAACACTCCAGTGAGGTGCGTCCGACGCAGACAATTATTTTAGGAAAACCACGGTGGCCTTCTCTCCCTGTCACTTAAATCTTGCTTCTCTTTTACAATTCAATATTTCCTATGTCGAGAGAAAATGGTTTGTTTGCTTCGGAGGACACGCTGGGAGATGCAGGAAGATGTTAATTATGTGGAACTGGGCCTCCTCCGCGGCTCCCGCACAAATGAGAATCTTTGGGGGTTCTGTCCAAATTGCCTGAGGATCAGAGCCAGGGGAGGGCGGGCAGGGATGCTTGCGCTCATGTTCCTTGTTTTTTTGTTTTCTTTTGAAACAATTGGATTTGTCATGAAAGGGAGGCGAAGCTAGTTCTGGATTCCCCCAGAACTGAGCGGTGAAGGTTTTCTTGGGCTACCCTTCTTGTCTTGGGGTTTTTATTTTTTGTTGTTGTTGTTGAGACAGAGTCTTGCTCTGTTGCCTGGGCTAGAGTGAGTGCCGTGGCGCCGGCCTAGCTCACAGCAACCTCAAACTCTTGGGCTCAAGCGATCCTCCTGCCTCAGCCTCCTGAGCAGCTGGGACTACAGGCATGTGCCACCATGCCCGGCTAATTTTTCTATTTATAGTAGAGACGGGATCTTGCTCTTGCTCAGGCTGGTCTTGAACTCCTGACCTCAAGCGATCCTCCCGCCTCGGCCTCCCAGAGTGCTGGGATTACAGGCATGAGCCACCACCGCACCCGGCCCCATGGGAGGCCAGGTGATCCCAGGAAGAACCCGTGGGTGGGGGTGGGGTGGGAAAGGAGGGAGGCAGCGAAGGAAACTTCTGCAGGGTGAGTTAATAAACAGGCTGCTCCTGTGGGCGACCCTGGGAGACCCCGTGGAACACAAACCTCTGAGTTCTCCCACCGGGAGAGGCCAGGGGGAGGGCTGGTATTTATTACTTGCACCTCTAAGCCATTATTGAGGATTGCTGGCTGTGTCCCCTGCCTGCCCATTTCAAAGAGCAGGTGGGCCTGCTTTGCCCACGGGAGAATAAAGCCCTCTACAGCTCTGGTCCCCAACCCTGGTCCTCTGCCCGGTGGTACCAGTCTGTGGCCTGTTAGGAAACGAGACTTGCACTGCCCCCCCCCCCCATCCCCCGGTCCATGAAAACATTGTCTTCCATGAAACCGGTCCCTGGTGCCAAAAAGGTTGGGGACTGGCCGGGCGCGGTGGCTCACGCCTGTAATCCTAACACTCTGGGAGGCCGAGGTAGGCGGATTGCTCGAGGTCAGGAGTTCGAAACCAGCCTGAGCAAGAGCGAGACCCCGTCTCTACTATAAAATAGGAAGAAATTAATTGGCCAACTAATATATATATAGAAAAAAAAGTTAGCCAGGCATGGTGGTGCATGCCTGTAGTCCCAGCTACTTGGGAGGCTGAGGCAGGAGGATTGCTTGAGCCCAGGTGATTGAGGTTGCTGTGAGCTAGGCTGACGCCACGGCACTCACTCTAGCCTGGGCGACAAAGTGAGACTCTGTCTCAAAAAAAAAAAAGGTTGGGGACCGCACTTCTGCAGTGGGTAAGCACTGCCTCCACCCAACGCCTGCCTGGGGGCCAGGAAGGCCGGGGTGTGAGTTATGTGTTCCCCAAGGAGGAGGGGGACGTGGATTCCTAACGAGGGGGTTCCCCCAGTTCAGGAAGCCTGCACCTACAGCCCCAAAATGACTAATCGAAATAGCTTCGGGTGGTGTTTGTGAATGGTTTATTTTTCTTATAAATTAGTGGAGGAGTTGTACTCATCTGTGCAATTATATCATTTGCTCACATTGCAATAAGCTTAAAGAAAAAAAAGGCTCTATTGAGTGGGAGAGGAAGGTGGGCTGGAGTCCCCAGGATGGCTCGTTCTCTGTGCCGGGCACGGCGGCCGTGGGTGATCTAGGGACGGCCGTGCGAGTGATCGATTATGTCACGATGCTTTGTTTCTGTGACACACTTGGGGCTTTATCAGAGTGCCTCCCGTGCTTGTGAGGATGCATCCTGGATAAGACCAGAATCTTCCATTTCCCAGCTCTGTGGCCACTACCCGTCATCACCTGCCGGGATCCACAAAGTCACCTCTGCCCGGGACGCCCTCCCTGCCCCTCCCCCGCCTAGCAGCCAGAGGTCACTGTGAACATCCAAGTCAGGGCATGTCCCTCCTCTGCTCAGAACCCCCCATGGCTCCCACCTCTGTCAGAGCAGAAGCCAAAGCCCTCTCTGCTTCTCAGCAGGCACACTCTGTCCCTCCACTTACCCCCTTGCCCCTTGTTCACTCTGCTCTGGCCACACCTGCCTCAGGGCCTTTGCACTTGCTGTTCCTTCTGCCTGGAACACCCTTCCCCAGATGTCCAAATGGCTCCTCCTTCAGGCCTTTCCTCAAGTGACACCTAAAGTTGCAACCCTGAGCCACCCCCCACTGATGCCTGCACGCCCCCAATCCTTTCCAATCCACATTACTTCTCTCTGCGATACTAATCGCCTTTAAATACTTGATGTGTACTCATTTCTGTCGCCCTCCACTCTATCAAAAGCTCCTCGGGGAGTGGTGTGTGTGTGTTTTGTTCACTGCTGTGTTTTCCACATCCAGAATAGAAGCCTGACCCGCAGGAGGAGCTTAATAAATATTTGTTGAAGAAACAAGACCATCATACCTTATTTAAAAGATCAGGCACTTTGGGAGGCCGAGCTGGGAGGTTCGCTCAAGGCCAGGAGTTCGAGACCAGCCTGGGCAACATAGCAAGATCCCGTCTCCACCAAAGATTTAAAAATCAGCTGGGTGGGCATGGTGGTGTGCACCTGTAGTCCCAGCTACTCGGGAGGCTGAGGCAGGAGGATCGCTTGAGCCCAGGCGTTCGAGATTGCAGTGAGCTATGATCGCACCTCTGCACTCCGGTCTAGGCAACAGAATGAGACCCTGTCTCTAAAACAACAAAAGCAACAAAATATCCGGGACCAAATTTTGATCAGGATTTGTGGTGCCAGAAGTGTCCCATCTTCTCTCCCCTTTCTCCTGGCTCATTTGTCCAACAAGTTCATCTCAAGTGGCACGCATTCTCTGAGCCTGGGAAAGATCCCTTGTTACTCCCTGCGCTATTTCTTCTAAACACTCAACTTCTAGAAATGTCAATAAGATTATAGGTCTGATATCGCTCTCACTAGCTCCGTGGGCAACGACCAGATGTTTCCTTCACCCCCTCTCTTCCTCAATCCTATCCCAGATCCTATGCCTGGGACAGAATAGGCTCTCACTTGATATTTTCTAATCGGTTTGCTAATCATGACCGTCTGGAGTTGCCTGATGCACATTAGCATTTCAAAGGCTCTGATAAGTCCTGCAGAAAAGAAACTTGTTTCACCCAGCCATGCACACATTGATTAGACCACAGGGCATCCTTTTTCCAGCACACCTGGTACGACTGCCAGTGTCCCAAGGAGCACGTCTCAGGGAGCACAGCTATAACTGATCACTGGATTATCAGAGCAGCATAAACTGATCTGAAGTTTAATTTAGGAGGCGTCTGAGGTGAGGCTTAAAATGGAAGGACCTAGAATGTCTCAGTGAGCATTGTAGCCCCATGCGGGCTTGCCCGTGCGTCTCCAGGTGAGGTGGGGGGACAGCACTTAGTGGGCCCTGAGATATCTCCGCAGCCCGTATGTCACTGTGGGCTGGGTGGGGAGTCCGAGAGGGAGGTCAAGGTTTGGAGGCTGTTACGAGCAGATCTGTGTCATAAGGGCGGTTTTGGAGGTGAAATGTGTGTGCCCGAATGTGCGTGGAAGAACGAATCCTTATCTTGGGGCAGGGCTCGAATCCCACAGTTCCTTGACGTGTTCCTTAACCCTCCCCATACCTCAGTCTTGCCATCTGCGAAATGGGCCTTCCCGAGGAGGGCTTGCGATCACAGCCAACAGACACTGGGCACATGGCCCGGCACGTGCCAGGCGTCTGGCAAAGGGCACCTGTCATTTCCCCGGGCCCCCTGACCCCCGTCTTCACACAGACGCTGTTCCAGAGCCCGGAAGAGGGCTGGCAGCTGTACACCTCGGCCCAGGCCCCCGACGGCAAATGCATCTGCACGGCCGTGATCCCCGCGCAGAGCGCCTGCGCCCGCGACGGCAGGAGCCGGGAGCTGCGGCAGCTGATGGAGAAGGTGAGGCCCTTCCGGGCGGCCTGCGCCCTGGCGCGCCCCCCTCGGCCCCTCAGCTGGCCAGACGCACCTGTTCCGGGAAGACGGACGGCCTGTGCCGCGGGGGAGGGGCCTCACCTCCACCCCAAGAGGCTTGAATAAAGCTCCCCTCCCGGCCGGGCGCGGCGGCTCACGCCTGTCATCCCAGCACTCTGGGAGGCCGAGGCGGGAGGATCGGTCGAGGTCAGGAGTTCGAAACCAGCCTGAGCAAGAGCGAGACCCCGTCTCCACTATAAATAGAGAGAAATTAATTGGCCAACTAATATGTATAGAAAAAATTAGCCGGGCATGGTGGTGCATGCCTGTAGTCCCAGCTACTCGGGAGGCTGAGGCAGAAGGATTGCTTGAGCCCAGGAGTTTGAGGTTGCTGTGAGCCAGGCTGACGCCACGGCACTCACTCCAGCCCAGACAACACAGTGAGACTCTGTCTCAAAAAAAAAACAAAACAAAACATTCCTTCCCCCTTTGTGGTCGATAGAAAATGGTCCCCATTCAATACACCCCCAAGGATGTTTCCGGGCCCCTTATAGCCGGAATGCTGGCCCTTGACGCTGCTCGGCCCAACTGCCCATTGTTGGCTTTGGTGCCATTGACGAAAGGGACCGTCAACCTCCTCCTGTCATTCTGTAGGGGAGGAAGCCGGGGCTTGGCAAACAGGAGACAGGGGCTTGTCAGCGCCAGAATCTCTCACCCTTCAACCCAGTGGGATCCTACCCTGCCCACAACACCCAGACTGCTTTCCCTGATAGTTTGGGACATGCATGTGGTGTCCTCCCATTTTCAACAATGGCTATAAAGAATTGCCGTTTATCCACGGGGCTGGGGTGAGGGGAGGCCAGGCGTGGAGGCTCACCCAGCACTTTGGGAAGCCAAAGCAGGAGAATTGTTTGAGGCTGGGAGTTTGAGACCAGCCTGGGCAACATAGTGAGACCCCCATCTCTCTACAAAAAAATACAAAAGTCAGCCAGGTGTGGTGGGGCACACCTGTAGTCCCAGCTACTCGGGAGGCTGAGGCGGGAGGATGGCTTGAGCCCAGGAGTTGGAGGCTGCAGTGAGCTATGATTGCACTACTGCACTTCAGCCTGGGCGACAGAGTGAGACCCTGTCTCTTAAAGAAACAAACTTCATTTTAAAATGTTCCCTCTGCTGCTGTGTGGAACGCGGACTGCAGACGAAGAGGGTGGGTGCAGGGAGACCAGGGAGGAGGTGGCTGGAGCAGGTGGGGGCAGTGACTGGGAGGGACAGGGTGGCCTGGTTGGCCGGGTGTTTGTGTGGCCTGTGGCCCCACCAGGCCTTGTCTGTGGCATCTCTAGCGTGCGGCCAGGCAGGGAGTTCCGGTCTCCTGAACTGTCCCCACTCCCAGGTCCAGAACGTCTCCCAGTCCATGGAGGTCCTTGAGCTGCGGACGTATCGTGACCTGCAGTACGTGCGTGGCATGGAGACCCTCATGCGGAGCCTGGACGCGCGGCTCCGGGCGGCCGACGGGTCCCTCTCGGCCAAGAGCTTCCAGGTGGGTCCTTCCGGGTGCAGGCCAGCGGCGGGGGAATGGCCGGGGCCTTGATGCCTGTCGGTTCCCAGAGTGGGGTGGTTCGTGTCGGGGGAATCCAGGGTCCAGCCCGGGCCAGGTGTGTGCATCAGAGACAGAGGCTGGAGTCACCTCTGGGCCCCAGGCCAGGGGGCAGGCTTGGCGACGGTCCCCCCCTGGCCGGCAGGAGCTGAAGGACAGGATGGCGGAGCTGCTGCCCCTGAGCGCGGTGCTGGAGCAGTACAAGGCAGACACGCGGACCGTCGTGCGGCTGCGGGAGGAGGTGCACAACCTCTCGGGCAGCCTGGCGGCCATCCAGGAGGAGATGGGCGCCTTCGGGTACGAGGACCTGCAGCAGCGGGTGATGGCTCTTGAGGCCCGGCTCCACGCCTGCGCCCAGAAGCTGGGTACGCCTTGACCCCTGACCCTGATCCCTGACCTCCACGGCCAATCCCAATCCTACCTGTGTGCCCAGACGCTTGAAATGAATGGCTTCCGCCCCCCTTTGTCCCCAGTCGAACTCCATATTGGGACCAGATTTTGAATCCTCCTTCACACGCACCCCCACCCCCCACCCTGGCCCTAGCTCTTCCCACCGGGGTCACAACATCCCGTCCTTGTCCTGCCCCTCTCGGTCCCTTTCTTCCCCACCTTCATTCCCGCCCGTTCCTGCCTCCCAGGCTGTGGGAAGCTGACCGGGGTCAGTAACCCCATCACCATCCGGGCCATGGGGTCCCGCTTCGGCTCCTGGATGACGGACACGATGGCCCCCAGCACGGACAGCCGGGTGAGTGCCTGTGCCCTCCTCCTCTGGGGTCAGAGCCTGGCGGGGACAGAGCCTGTGACTGCCCATAGGCGCCCAGGGATCCCACCCCAGTGACTCTCTCATGCCCCAAATGTCCTACATCTCCCTGGGCCTCCCGCCCACCATCTAGTGGGCACCCACTGGCCAAGGACGCTCCGGCCCTGAGAGTCCCAAAGTCTGCTGACCTCCAACAACTGTTGCCACTATTGCCACTATAGGCCGCTACTGCCCAGTGTCTGGTGACCAGTGACCTCTAAGTAACTACCCAGTGGACACTGCTTTCCCAAGGACAAGTGGCCCTCCCAGCACTGCTCAATGACCTTGGACTTCCAGGCCCTCTGTGGTCATGACTGCCCGTCCCTTAGACCCACAAGGACCATCCATAAACTGCCTAGTGCCCGTCCTGCAGTGGTGACCTTCCTAGCGACTGACATTGGTCCCTGGGTGGCCACTGAGCGTCAGAGATGATAGGAGGTGACTACACACCGTTCCACCATTACCGCTGGCCTCCCAGGGAGGATGGTGGCTCAACCCATCGGTTGGTTTGGGAATCAGACTTGGATGTGCATTCCCGTTCCACCACTTCTTAGCTAGGGAAACCTTTAATTCCTTTATCTTTAAAATGATCATGATAACATCAGCATTCAAATTTTTTATGAGCCTCAGCTCAGTAACAAGGACACTCATGAACGCTAATTAATATGAGGAGGGGGGCCGGGTGCGGTGGCTCACACCTGTAATCCTAGCACTCTGGGAGGCCGAGGCGGGAGGATCGCTCAAGGTCAGGAGTTCGAAACCAGCCTGAGCAAGAGCGAGACCCCGTCTCTACTAAAAATAGAAAGAAATTAATTGGACAACTAATATACATAGAAAAAATTAGCTGGGCATGGTGGCACATGCCTGTAGTCCCAGCTACTTGGGAGGCTGAGGCAGGAGGATCGCTTGAGCCCAGGAGTTTGAGGTTGCTGTGAGCGAGGCTGATGCCCCAGCACTCACTCTAGCCTGGGCAACAAAGTGAGACTCTGTATCAAAAAAAAAAAAAAAATGAGGAAGGGGAGGGATGATGATGATGATGGAGAAGATGGTGATGACGTGCCTGGTCACCTCGTGGTTTCAGGGGTAACCATTGGAGTTTAGTGACCTCTTATCACCCAGTGGCTGTCCAGAGACCATAGCCACTCAATGACCAGTGAATTCCTGGGCCCAGTGAGTCCCCAAGGACTGCAATCCCACCCCACCCGCACCCAATCCTTTGGGATCAAGCATCATCCACTTAGAGTCTGTCTGAGACCAATGGTGCCCACTGAGACTGCGATTGGTCATGAATGGCCAACGCAAGTCCCATAACTGAATGACGACCACTAGTGACCCTGGCTGCCGCTGCCTGCGTGGTCGCTGGGACTCCTGGCTTCCCCACTGACCGGTGGCTACTTCCGTAGGTCTGGTACATGGATGGTTATTACAAAGGCCGCCGGGTCCTGGAGTTCCGCACCCTGGGAGACTTCATCAAAGGCCAGAACTTTATCCAACACCTGCTGCCGCAGCCGTGGGCGGGCACGGGCCACGTGGTGTACAACGGCTCCCTGTTCTACAACAAGTACCAGAGCAACGTGGTGGTCAAGTACCACTTCCGCTCGCGCTCCGTGCTGGTGCAGCGGAGCCTCCCGGGCGCGGGCTACAACAACACCTTCCCCTACTCCTGGGGCGGCTTCTCCGACATGGACTTCATGGTGGACGAGAGCGGGCTCTGGGCCGTGTACACCACCAACCAGAACGCGGGCAACATCGTGGTCAGCCGGCTGGACCCGCACACCCTCGAGGTGGTGCGGTCCTGGGACACCGGCTACCCCAAGCGCAGCGCGGGCGAGGCCTTCATGATCTGCGGCGTGCTCTACGTCACCAACTCCCACCTGGCCGGCGCCAAGGTCTACTTCGCCTACTTCACCAACACGTCCAGCTACGAGTACACGGACGTGCCCTTCCACAACCAGTACTCCCACATCTCCATGCTGGACTACAACCCCCGCGAGCGGGCCCTGTACACCTGGAACAACGGCCACCAGGTCCTCTACAACGTCACGCTGTTCCACGTCATTAGCACCGCCGGGGACCCCTAGGCCCCGGCTGCCGCACAGTGGGGGGGCGAGGGGGCTCCCCGGGGGCCTTTTCCACTCTGCCTGTGTCCCTTATGGTTGATCTTTCTGTCTCTGTCGCACCCTTCTCTCCCCCCTTCTGCCCTCCGTATTTCTATCCATGCGATTTCTCAATTTCATCTCTTCTCCTTTACCGATCTCTGCTTTTGATACTCTACTTTTGTCTTTCTGCCTTTTTACTGATGTCCCTCCGTCTCTTTCTCTTTCCCTGTCTCTGCCACTCTCTCTCTCTGCCCTCCCCGCCCCCACTCTTTGCTTCCCACCCCCACCCCCAGGAGTTGAATGCATGGATCTGTTTCTTTTTTTATTTACACTTCTTCTTTCCGGGCTGCCGGAATAAACGGGACCTTTGACATTTGATGCTTCGGTGGGTCTTTGTGTCCCAGGTGGTGCAGAGGCGGAGGCGGTGGCCAAGTCCAAGCCTGGACACCTGACTCGCATGGGGACCCCCTTATTCCATAACTTAGGGTTAAGTGCACTGGGGGGACCCAGCACGGGGGTGGGGAGGGGCACAGTGACGAGCAGCCCCGGACAAGCCCTTTGGGGAGACCCAATCTAGAACCGTTTCGATTGCAAGCAATTTGTTTAAAAGCAATTTGATCAAAGCAACCCAGAATTCTATCAGAACGATGAAAACTGGCCTCAAATGAATATTCTTCCCGTCACTGGCTCTCTTTCCACTCCTGGGTCACGCTGGTGCCTTGCTGAGTGGTCTGGCAATGTTTTAATGGGTTTTTAACAATTGGGCTGGCTCCTGAGAAGCTGGGTAAGAGAGGGGTAAGGGCCCAGTTGAATTTTTCCCTTTTCATGTCTTTTTTTTTTTCTGCTCTGTAATTTCGAAAACCATTTTTAAACTAGTCACATCTGCTGTGAGTAACAACAAAAAGCTAGAAACAGCCTAAAGGGGTCCTTGTGCCTTTGGGTGAAGGCACATCCCACAGCTGGAGCCCGCTTACCTGGAAAGGGCTTGGGCAGGGCATGGTCCCTAACTGTGGGGACCAGCAGTCTTGGGGGGACGGATGGGCAAAGACAGGACGTCTTGGAGGCCGGAGGGATGAAGGGCGAAGGAAGAGGCTAGCCCCTCAGCAACCTTTAGATCCAGCTAGAAGCGGAGTAGGGGATTTCAGCGGGGTTAGGACGAGATGAGGGCATTATGTGAGCCAGATCTGCAAGAGATCTACCCCAGGGGTGAGGCTGGGCGCCAGTGGGGTGTCGGGAGGATAAAGAACAAGCGGGAAGGGGTGCGAGAGTCACCGCGGGGCTGAGTGGCTGAGAATGAATGCAGTGAAGGAGGGACTGACCCCCCAGCCCCATGGTGGCCTGTCCCATGGTCCCTATTGAATCCAGAGCTGGGGATGTCATGCAAAGAGCCCCAGGCGCCCAGACCCCGCCCTGCTGAGCCTGCAGAGGAGGCCTCGGTTCCTCTGGGAGGACACGCTCCCCACGTCTAATTAATGGCCTCCCCGATTAAATCATCTCCGCTCCGTGCTGGCATCTCCTCTCCGGGAACTCGGATATGGGGCCATATTGGGAACCAAACCAATGAATAATAAATGGGGCTGCCTAATGCGCTCATTTAAAACCAATTTTTAAAGAAATCCTCAGGAAAAGCAATTAATTTCCATTTAAATAAACACGTTGGACACGGGAGGGGGAAAGAATCGATTTCTGCATTAGCAGGTGGGGAGGCGCTTTGCTCTGGATCTGCCGAAAAAGTGGAAGAAAGGAAAAATCAGCACAGGGCTGGCATGCTGAGAACATCTGTAACACCCCTCCCCCAATTTACATTTATTTGGAGGCAAATCTGCAAGGTGGGTGGGTGAGGGGTTTGCTGGTCTCAGATACCGAATCGCCCCAAAGTGAGGTTGAGAACTGAATTCAACAATGTCTGTTCCCAGTACACTCAGACCTGGGGTGCCACATGGTCACATCCAGATCAGGGCTGGATGTGGCCGTGCTTGTCACATCTGTACACCAGGTCCTCAAACAGATGCTCCCCGCCACCCCACCCACACCTCAGCACTCCTTGTAGCTTTGTGTTGGTGGCTTTTGTTCCAACCTAGGATGGGCAGGACTAACATGCCAGGATCCGTGTGTATGTGTGTGTCGGCTGTCTGCAGCTAACTCGGGGACACCATGGATGTGTACCTACAGTGGGGAAGCCAGCCCCCACTCAGGAACAGAAACCCCTTTTGCCCTGGGGGGACTTGCTCTGGGCCCCGCCTGGTGACGCCAAGGAAGCCAGGGCTGATGCACACTGCCTGGGAGCGGAATTCAGCCCTCTGAGGCGGGTCTGTTCTGGGAGATGCCTGCAACAGAGGACCCAAGGGAAGACTACACTGTCACCATCTGAAAGGCCTGGGATTTATACCCCATCCTAGGCGGGAGCGGGTGGGCGGGAACGTGGAGGTGAGGCAAACCACAGCCGCTTAATAATGAGTCACCTGGACACTGAGTGGGCGCCGGTGCCTGTTTACGTTCTTGTTTGGGTTTTGGCCACCGCACAGACAGACAAGGGAAGGGGGAGGCCCAGAGGGGCAGAGTCAGTCACACTCAGACAGGGGGACACCCAGCATTGCACAGGACACACAGAGATAGCCAGAGTCACGTGGCCATGTGCATGCTCGGGCGTGCGCGCGCGCACACGCGCACGCACGCACACACACACACACACACACACACACACACACACGGAAGCCGAGTGACAGGGCATGCCTCTCCCTGGCAGCCTCTTGGTTGCTGGGGCAGATTGTCCCCTGGGCCCTCAGTGTTGGCAGGACACAATGCCCATTCTTCACCTGGGGGCAGAACTCGGCAAACCCACCAGGTCCCCAGTCACTGCTTTCTGATCCTTCCCGGGCGCTGGGTCGTACCAGGAGGGGTGCAGTCCTCCCCAGCCCCACCTCATGGGTGCCAGCGCTGGGGCTGCTGCCTCGTGGACCCCCAGGCGGCAGAATGTTCTGCCTGAAGGTGCAGCCAACCAGCCAGCCCCCCAGCCCTCCAGGGCTGAGCGGAAACCCATTAAACCTTCCTAATGACAAACGCTCCAGCAGGCAGGCGGCAGGCGAGTGAGCGATTGCTCCAGAAACCGGCCAGATGGGAGCAGGCGCAGGTGATTGTTTATGAGACTTGGGCCTTTATTAGAGACTCGGCCTGGGAAGGGGGGAGGCGCCCTCGGAGTCGGGCTTTATTTATTTTCCTCAGGTCCCCATCCCTGCCAGCCGGGCGCCCCCCAAGCTGGGCTGGTCGCCATCAAGTTGGGGAGGTGGGGGTTGGGGCAGGCATAACCGCTTCTCCCACGACCCCTCGACTGGACTCTGAGCCCCATCCTGGCACAGGCGATGGGGACAGGTGGGCCACACCAACAGCCACCGAGGAGGGAGCCACCACCTGCCTGCCACCCACCCCAGGGATCCCTTCTTCCAACAGCACTGGACGCTGCCTCCCGTTCCCAGCCCCTCCCCGCAGGATCCCTGCGCCCAGAGGTGGCCGTCCGGGAGGGCCCTGTTGCCATGGTAACAGCATCTGCAGAGGGTGCTAGGTCTGGCGGACCCAAGAACCACCTTCCAGAAGCACTTGCGGCAGTGAGGAAGCAGGCACGGAGTGCTGGGCCCGATTCCTTCTAACTGGAGAGTGGCCTGTGAGTGCAGGACATTGGGGGCCACGCAGAGGGCACCCTGGGGCGGCGTGGCACCCCTGAGCCAAGAACCGCTGCAGCCAGACGGCACCCCACTGCCCCAAGAGTCAGGCCCAGGGAGAGGGGAGGCTTCCCGGGGGAGGAGGGGCAGCCCGAACCCTGGTTGCTTGGGGTGGTGGGCCATGACCCCTCCATGTCACCGCCCCCCTTTGCCCCCCCACCCCAGGGAGGAAGCGAGACCAGCAGGGTGGAGCAGCGGTTCCAGGTTTAATCGGGGTTGCAAAGGGCGCCACGCCACCGCTCAGGGAGGGCTCCGAGGGCCCGCAGCCGGGCCACACAGGGCGTTTGCTTTTTGCAGCTGAACAGAGGAACGTGGAGTTAACTAGAAACATGACCCAGGGCCCCCGTCTGCCTCCAGGACCTGGGGACACAGGGCGGCTCCGCTGACCAGGCCTTCTCTTCCGGACACCCCTAGCCCTGGGCCTGGGAGCCCGCCCACCCCCGCTGCCCTTCTGAAGTCAATTCCTTGAGGGGGAGTCCGGCAGGGGCGGCCCCAGCAGGGGCAGGCAGGGAGTGGGGTGCCAGAGCCCCCAAACTGGAAGAGCCCCCCTCCCAGCCATTTTGGGAACAATAAATACTGTGTGACGGCAGCAGGGCGGGGGTCGCCGCGGGCCCCTCACTCCGTGCGCAGGATGATGTGGATGCCGGAGTCCGTGAACACCGGCCCGCTCATCTCCCCCGTCCGCAGCGCAAACGAGGCGTCTTCGAATGGCTTCTGCATCTGACCTGGGGAGCGTGGGCGACGCCGGGGGTCAGGCCGGGCGGCCGGCAGGGGGACGGCAGATGGCGCTGCTGCCTGCGCGTGTCCACCCCCGTCCCTCATCCGTCACCGGGTTTACGGCCCTGTCACGGAGCTGAGCGGAGGCCCAGCTGGGGGCGCAGCGCCGTTAGGGAGGCCCCGGATACCGGTGACAGCGTGAGGGATGGCAGGCAGAGCCGCTGCTGTGCGCTGAGACACATTTTGGTAGAAAACTCGTCTCCCCGGCCCGGTTCCCGGCCCCTCCCACACCATCTGCCCCATCTGGCCCCCCCTCAGGTGCCTGCACACCCCACCCCCACCCCATCCTGGGGAGGAGGAGGAGGTAGTCTGGTTTCCCACCAGCAAGGGTCAGGTGGAGGATTCTCAGGGACATGCCTGGGGGGCTCCCCAACAAGAGAGGCACACGACAGGACCCCCACCTTGGTGGGCCCCCATGAGACATCTGTGCAGGGACACACAGACCGACCCCAGGGAGAAGGGTTCGAGAGCCACCGGCCTTGTGCGGGCCCTGCCTGCCCTGCGGCAGCCTGAGGCGGGGACTGTGCTGCCACCTGGTGGACCCTGAGGGCCGAGTGGCACAGGCCCTCCCCCAGCCCTTCCCGCGGCTCGGCGGCGCCCGTCCCTGCGCACCTCTGCTGAAGGCACCCAGGTCTCCCCTGGCCTTGGCCGAGCTGCAGTCGCTGAACTGTGAGGCCAGAGATTCAAAGTCCTCCTCTCCCGACTTGATCTTCTGGATGTAGCCTGCGGACACAGGACAGGGAGAGTTCCAGGGCAGGGCAGAGCACAGGCTCCAGGGTGGAGGGAAGCCGACCTGCCCGCCCCCCACACGTGCACGCACGGGCACAGCCCAGCCCCCGACTGCCGACACACGCACGCTTGAGAGAATCTGCCTCACCCCAGGGG